AGTTGAAATTTTAGGGATCTAAAATTTGTCATTTTAAATCAGTGTTAGATACTGAAGAATCTAACTTGACACCAAAAAGTACGGAGTATGCAGGGTGTTAAATGGATGGTTGTTTCTGGAGGGCCTTGGCTCTAACCTAACTAAAATAATGGTTATAGTAAAAACTAAAAATACCTGCCTTAATTGATGGTGTAATCCAGAAGTAAACAGTACATTACGTCTTTTGTGAACAGCAACTAAAGTGACCGTATGCCCGACCAGCAAATTGTGAACAGTGCAACTTCATGTTTCTCTGTTAGCAATTATGTGGAACAGTTACATCTATATTCTGCAGAAAAAAAGACAGATTTTCATATTCTCAGCGGAACTGTAGCACTCTGAATATTCTTTTAAGTGTATACTTTTTTAAAAATATAGCTGTTTCTTCTTTGACATCAATTATTGAATGCCCCTACTTAAGATCCAAAATTAACAAACAAGTGTATAGCATATAGCTAATGGAAACCAGGTATCACTGAAACTATTAATGATGTTTTCTACAGGAAAGCATTGTATTTTTTTGTTGTTGTAGAACTGCCATCTCTTAAAGCAATAACATAATTGCCTGAATACCATGAAATGTATTTCAATGTGAATGTTTTATGGACTTTGAGCTATGAAACTAGTGTTTAGAAAGCATGTTTCATGCGATTAGACAGTGCGTTTAAGCTTTTTCTCCTGAAATAATTTATAAAGAATTAGTTGCAAGACTTAAGTCACAAGGATTTCAAGTTTTTCCCAGATATCTTTTTTTACTTTTAAAAATGTTATTTTAAAATATATTCCAGTGAAATGTCAGTGATGAGCTCTGGTTCCTGCTCAGGAATAGGTCCTCTGCTCTGATTTCACCAAGAGAGTTGTGGGTAGTCCCACATCTCCTCTAGCAGGCTGGTGGAAACCACCTGGAAAGCTGAGTGCTGACTGTGGGATGTGAGCTTCTGTTGGGGTGTAGGAATGCACCCTTGAATTTTGGGCACTTTGGATCTTTGCATGATCTTTAGGTGTGTGGGCCTGTATCTGAGAGCTTTGACAGGTGGCCACTAAGGAAATGAGGAAGGACAGGAAGGCCTGTGTATGAAGAAAGGAAAAGGTGTTATACCCAGTTCAGGCAGTTGCAGTTTGATAGTCTAACTTACTGGTGAGGACTTAACTTCCTTTTGCTGTATGGTGGACTTGGTGTGTGTGGAGTAAATACTGTCAATTATGGGATTTGCTATACCATTGCAGTTCCAAATGAAAAATTGGTTGTGTTGTCTGTATCCCCAGGTACCTCATCCTGCATCCTTTATGTGTAGGTGTCACCTACTGTTTTGGTCAACTGAAAAAGGCAAAGATTTAAAGCCTTAGTAGTTAACCAAAAAGTCTTCAGTCCTGCAAAGTATTAGTAACTGTAATTGAAGTATAAGATTTAGTGTATATGCTTGTGTACAGTCTGGTCTGAATCCAAATGATTTTCATCTGCAAAATGATGAAAGTCATCTTTGCAAGATAAATGTTTCAGAGAGGCTTTCATTGTTCCTGTTTTTGCAAGTAGTATGGTGAAGGCAAGGAGTCCTTTCCTCCTACCGTCAGTGTGAGAGCGTTTAAAAACATTAGTTGTGTTTGGCACTTGGGAAGTTTTGGGTGGTGGTATAGTTGGCTCGCCTCTTACTTCATCTGTTGTCTGTTTTCCATGAACCAATGTATATCATAGTGATGGATTTGCAGAAGGTCATCGTATTGCGTGTTTAAAGAGGTGATAGACATGTCACATTTAAATGTGTGGTTTTTTTGCTTTTCAATTTTAAACAAGTGATGACTCTTTGGCAGTATTTTTAGTGTCTTTTCACCATAAATTAGAACTTGAAGACCATCTTTGGAAGAGTAATAATTATTGCCTCGATTTAAATTTAAAGATGATAAAATATGACACCACTATGTTTTGACCTCTGGAGTTTATTATCAAGGTGAAAGGCATGCCTCACTGTGAAAACAGTCTTCAAGCAGCAAAACCTAATTCTTGCTTATGTTGACAAACAGTAAAAAAGATTCATTTTGCATCCTTGGCATTTTTTTGCAACCAAATTACTCTAAAATGTGAATCTATGCAGTCTTCAAAGACAAAAACAAGTTTTAAAAAAAAAATGAACTTCCATATATGGACAGAAAATACCAATCTTTGCCTTTCTTCTGCAAAAGCAACAATATATCCACAAGTTAAATCTTTTATGCTTCCTATGGTAGAACGTATTTGTTACCTCTTTAGTTTGCTTGCTTTTATTATAAAAACAAGCTACAGAGGGCAGAGCTACTGACAGTGGTAATGATATGATTTCTCCTCTTTCTACTCTT